AGCAGCAAAATTCCACCAATCACAAAACGTTTCAGCAACTAGCATGATAGATTAGCATGAAATGAGTTCGTCAACTTTTCGTCTTTTAAACTGTCAAAATGCACTTTTTCTGTTAAAAACTGTAACGAATCAACTCTGAGCTGTACGGAGTCTGCTACTCCGGTCTCAAAAACGTCTTTCTAGCTATTTAAACAACTCGTCCGAACCTTTTTCAGAACCGAGCCGGTCCAGAACCGCATCTGGACCGTCTTTAAACAGAATAGAGCGTTTCCACAACCCAGCTTTTAGTTACCATAACAGGCGTACAATTTCAGCTTTCATAAAGACTCAATGACACTATTTCAGCTTTCAAAACATCACTAGCCCAACACGCTTAAACATGCAGCGTTTTGACTTCAAAGCGGCGCAGCTTGAGCTGCGTTTCAGCACAGCTGATAAACTGTTACTTTTCCTCATGCCAACATGTAAAAAACAATTTTACACGAAATACACAGTCATTTATGAGCACGTAACGGGCCACCAATTGTAGTATGACATAGTTGGATTTATGTTCATACATTTTTCACGAGTTCCTCATCTTTCTGACTGTGTAAATGTCGTGCGTTGAGTTTAACAGAAATGCGAACGAGAGACGTTATTATCTTTGACCCATCAAATGAATGCGGTCATTTATTTGCAGAATCAAAGTTTAACATCAAACATTTACATTAATTTGGCAAAATATGAAAATAATAACAGACAAGTTTCACAGATAATGGACATCAATCACACGGCGGTGACTGAGGACTTTGCTTCAGATATTTCTAAGATATCTGTGCTGATTTTAGGAGAAAGGAGAGTTTAAGATGGAAAATGGAGATTTATCTTACAGAGAGATGTGTGAGGGAATTAATCTGTTTGACCAGAAACGTGCACGCTCTTTGGGGAATCAGCTTGGCCACGGTACACTTAGTCGAAAATAGAACCTTCTACCTGGTTGATGATAAAATCAGCGTCGGCGTAGGGTTCCTTTCTGACTCTTTCAGCGTCTCCATGAGGACAGCCAAACCCTTAGAGAGTCGTACGAGGTTATCCAAACAGAAGTTGTAACTCCCAAAATCCTCTCTGCATCCTGTCTCATCAGAATTCTGAACTCCTTCAGAACTCTCTTCAGAGAGTTAAACTCTGGAACTCTTTACTCCTTAACTCTGTTACTCTCATGTTGAACTCATTCCTGAGCGCAGCAACTGTTGAGCGCAGCAACTCCTGAGCGCAGCAACTCACTGAACTGGGAAGTTGCCACATTTTAAATGGGTCGACTTCCGGGTCATTTGAGAGCTTTCTGATTGGTCGATGGACCAGAAAGAGGTGTGGTTTGTGATGTAAGGTGTTATGAAAAGTCAAGGGCAGAGAATGAGATAGTTTAAAAACAGACAGAAAGATTATTGGAGAAAACCAGACTTCGTGGAGTCAAACTCTCCTGTATCTTCTGTGAAGATTAAACATGACATTTCTTCTCAGTAAACATTTTAGTTGACCGAAACCTGACTTTTAACATACTTACAAATTTGCTCATTGAAGACAGAAAAATCAAGAAATGCATATTAACCTGATTTCTTCTTTGAATGAGGAATAAAAATCATTACTTACTGTTTATGTAAATAAAATGAGTAGTTCTCTTCAACCTGTAAACATTGAGTGAACTAACACAATTTGATTATCAAACATTTGTAAAATAGTAATGATCATAGAGAATTGTCTTTTCTACTTGATTACTTCAAGAAAGAAAGTCTCCAGATGGCTCAAACTGTATTTCTGGATGCAGATCAATGAAATAACAGTCTCTGTCCATCTGGTCAGTTTTGACATGGGCCTAGGTTCACTACACTGTAAAATAGGACAAAGGGATGCCTCGGATCACGGAGGTCTCTTTTTAAACACCTGGATGAAGGGAGAAAGAAAACAAACTGGAGACTGAATTTAGGCATATTAAACAATGAGGAACAAAAGAAAGTAATAGTAGATGAATACAAAGATTTTCTATCCTTAAACGATAATGGGGAAATGAGTGCAGCCATCCTATGGGATACAGCTAAAGCATATATATGGGGCAAACTTATAGCCAAAGCGGCGTCTCAGAAAAAACTCAAGTACGATCGATTATACAACTTGGAAAATAGACACAGAGAGTTGGAGAAACTACATAGTCAAAATAAAGACCCCTCGCTACTAACCCTAAGCCGACCTATTAAACCGGAGATAGATAAGATTTATAATGAAGATATAGAGAAGAATATACAGTACATGAAACAGAGGTACTACGAGGCTGGACCAAAAGCTGCAAAACTGCTGGCATGGAAAATACGCAAGCAACAAGAAGAAAGAGCAGTTCATAAAATCAAGGATCCAAATACAAACTAATTAAAAACTAAATTTAAAAAAAATCATAGATTATTTGAAAAATATTATATATCACTTCTTCTTTCGGCTTTTCCCTCTTCAGGGGTCGCCACAGCGAGTCATCCTCCTCCACCTCACTCTGTCCTCTGCATCCTCTGTCCTCACTCCAACTACCTTCATGTCCACTCTAACTGCATCCATATGTCTCCTCTTTGTCTTTTTCCTGGCAGCTGCATTTCTAACATCATTCTACCAGTATACCCACTGTCCCTCCTCTTGACATGTCCAAACCATCTCAGTCTGGCCTCCCTAACTTTATCTCCCATTTGTTCAACCTGTGCTGTACCTCTGATGATCTCATTCCTAATCTTATCCAGCCTTGTCACTCCTAATGAGAACCTTAGCATATTCATTTTTGCCACTCCCAGTTCTTTGTCCTGTCTTTTTGTCAATGTCACTGTCTCCAGACCATACAATACAGCTGGTCTCACCCCTATTTTATAAACTTTTCCTTTGACCTTTGCTGACACCTTTTTGTCACAAATCACTCCTGAAACTTTTCTCCATTTACTCCATCCTGCCTGGACTCTCTTTTTCACTTCTTTGCCACATTGCCCATTTTCCTGTACAGTGGACCCCAAGTACTTGAAGTCCTGCACCTTTGTGACCTCTGCTCCTTGTAGCCTCACTGTTCCACCGGCCTCCCTCTCATTCACACATGTACTCTGTCTTACTACGGCTGACTTTCATTCCTCTTCTTTCAAGTGCATACCTCCGCTTCTCCAAGTTCTCTTCCACCTGTTCCCTGCTCTCACCACAGATCACAATGTCATCTGCAAACATCATCATCCATGGGGATTCTTGCCTGATCTCATCTGTTAGTCGGTCCATCACCAGAGCAAACAAGAAGGGGCTCAGAGCTGATCCTTGATGCAATCCCACCTCCACCTTGAAGCTATCTGTCACTCCTACAGCACATCTCATCACTGTCCTGCTGTCCTCATACAAGTCCTGTACCAGTCTAACATACTTTTCTGCCACTTCAGATTTACTCATGCAATACCACACCTCCTCCCTCGACATTCTGTCATATGCTTTTTCTAAATCCACAAAGACACAATAGAGTTCTTTCTGACCCTCTGTTTACTTCTCCATCAGCATTCTCAAAGCAAAGATGGCATCTGTGGTGCTCTTTCTTGGCATGAAACCATACTGCTACTCACAGTCACCTATTATCTAAGTCTTGCTTCCGCAACTCTCTCTCCCAGATCTTCATTGTGTGACTCATCAACTTAATTCCCCTGTTGTTGCTACAACTCTGTACATCACCCTTGTTCTTACAAATGGGCACCAGCACACTTCTCCTTTCCTCAGGCATTTTGTCACCCTCAAATTTGCCATTGAATATTTGAGTCAAAAACCTCACTGCCATCTCTCCACGACATCTCTCCTTCCTTAGATATAGAACTTTACTAATTGACTTTTCTATGTATGTGAATGTTCTTGTAAAGTTCCCTGAGACTAATTTGTTGTGATTTGCTGCTACTGTATATAAATAAGCTGAATTGAATTGAATTGAATTGAATTGAATTGAATTGAATTGAATTGAAAGACATTTCCAAACATCCACTGGTATGTCCTCAGGTCTTACTGCCTTCCCTTTCTTCATTCTTGTCAGAGCTTTTTGGACTTCACCCTCACTAATCTTTCCCACTTCCTGGTCCAAAGTTTCTATGACCTCTACTCTTCTTTATCTTTCATTCTTTTCATGCATTAGCTCCTCAAAGTACTCCTTCCATCTTCCTGTCACACTCTCCTCACTTGTTAGAACATTACCATTCCTAACTTTAACAAGCCTAACCTGCTGCACATCCTTTCCAGCCTGATCCCTCTGTCTCACCAGTCGGTTCAAGTCCTTCTCGCCCTCTTTTTAGTGTTTAGCCCTACATATGACTCATCATATGTCTTCTGATTTGCCTTTGCTACCTCCTCTTTACTGTACATTGCATCTCCTTATATTCCTGTCTCCTCTCTTCAGTCCTCTCACTGTCATATTTCTTCTTGGCTAACCTCTTTCTTTGAACAAAGTCCTGCACTTCACTATTCCACCATCAGGTTTCCTTATCATCCATTCTCTGTCCAGATGACACACCAAGTACCTTCCTACTTGTCTCTCTAGTTACTGTTGCTGTAGTAACCCAGTCATTTGGAAGCTCTTTCTTACCACCCAGAGCCTTTAACATCTCCTCTCTGAATTTCTCACAACAACCTTCTTTTCTCAGCTTCCACCATTTGGTCTTCTTCTCTGATTTTACTCTTATTCTCTTCTTCTCAACAACAGTCATTCTACACACAACCATCCTTTGCTGTCTGTCCACACTCTCTCCTGCCACAACCTTACAGTCTCCAATCTCCCTCAGGTTTCCTCTTCTACACAGAATGTAGTTGACCTGTGTATTCCTTCCTCCACTCTTGTGAAAATGAAGGACTGTAAACAAATATGGAGAGAGTTTCACTGAGACTTTCTGTGTTGCGTTGTAAATCTTTGTGGTCCACTGTCATAAACTCCAGAACATGTTTGCATTTCATCTCTGTTGTGTTCTGTTTCTTCGGTTTTTCAGGAGATCAGTCAGATTTGGGTTATAACTCCCTGTCCAAAGAGGAGGTTCGGAGAGGTGAACCCACCCCGCAGGGCACAGCCCCCAACAAAGATGACAAGAAGGAGAGCGACTGCAGCTCCCGTCAGTAGGATGTCTGAACTAATTTTACCTGATCGTTTTCTTTAATCTCTTTAAGACTGAACTTGATTAGAAACACCTGATTTACAATTTATTCTAACATCAGGAGATGTTTTCTGTTAATCTTGTTCAGTGATCAATTTTTTTCTCTTTTTAGTTCTTATGAAAATCTAAGTATTGTCACAGTTTGAAGTTTTGACAATTTTTAAAAAGTCCAGGTTTAAATGAAAGTCTCTGTGTTCAGTGTCGGAGACAGAAAGTGCAAAGGGAAGTAAAGACTGCCTCCCTCAGTTGGACTCAGACATGAATTCCTCCTTCAAACCCCGAGAAATAGTTCGCAGCAGTTATCCATACGAAGATTCATCTTGCAAACCCAAGAGCTCTGCTAGCGCAGGTATTTTTAAACATTAAAGTTTAGCTAAGTTAATTAGCGAGGACACAGTTTATTATTGAACATATTTTTCAAAAACTAACTTTTTTATCACATTTAAACGATTTTAGCTTTGTTTCAGAGCACTGTTTATGTGTAAAAAAGTTAAATCTGGTCCTCTGGACATGTCCAGAGGACCAGATTTAACTTTTTTAGATTTTTCTACCTGGATTATTGACCATGCATCAGGACTGTTTATGTGAGTTTGATGAGCTAAACAGCAAACGATTATTTAGGACAAAGGACATTAGTTACATGTTTAGTAGGGATGCAGTGATATCAGTACTGGGTACAGGTCCAACGTGTTGGTGCACTCATAAATGACTGCAGAACCCATGTGGAGGCATTTGTAAATGAACAATGCTGAAAAAGTAAAGTGGAATGCCAAATATGCATGCATAAGTAATTTGGTTAAACATCTAAAACAACAACACTCTACTTAGTTCAAAGAGTTTACGGACAGCAGTGGGAGGCATTTTCTAGTTCTCGTATTGGTACTTTGTAACCTCAAGTATATTAATGTAAGTAATTGTACTGAGACTTGTCTTGATCCTTGCTCAATAATCCAGGTAGATAAATCTAACAAGGTTGAGTCAGGTCATCTGGTCAGAGGTCCTGATTTTCATTTAGACTTTGTTTGAAAAAGTACCAGTGCATCCCTAATGTTTAGTTTCATTCAATTTATGTCACACTGTTCTTGCAACAAAATTAATATGATGCACCAGTTTTTCCTTGGAGCATTTTTCCTCTCTCCTGTCAGGGATTTTTGTTAGTTGGTGTTTCTTTCTCTCTGCAGGCCATGTGGCAGGTCTCCTCTTCACCTCCTCTCTGGATGAGATCGGTGACATTCACTGCAACTCTTTGATCAAAAGACATAGGAGTGTTCTGGAGGAGGTGGTGGGCAGCACCGGCAGCAGCTCTGCTCTAGACCGGCAGTTTGTGAGGGGTCGTCGCTTGAGTGGGGACACTGCAGGCAGTGGAGGCATCACTGTCCTCGGTCTGGGGATGAGTCAGGCTGAAACTGACCCAGAAAAGATTGCAGGGCACTTGGGTGCAGATGCCAAAATTCTTTCTAGTGCTAATTACAGTAAAAGATCTCTTTCTCGAGGGCAGGGAGGGTATGAAGGACTTTCTGTCAAAGCTGGGGGTGCTTTTAGATATTGTGAGGAGGAAGAGGAAGGGCATGTTTCCAGTGATGAAGACAGGAGTCATACAGAGACCATTTTTGATTTTGAAGACATAGAAATAGACAAGCCTGTCGCAGAGATTAATTCATGCAGCAAAACTCACAAGAAACCCATCGAACGCAGTGCCAGCTATGGTGGAGTGAGTGCTGTAACGTCCAATAAAGCTATCAGGCGCACCGGAATTGAAACTGGCTACGACCCGCTTTCCCTTCTAGCAGCTGAAATGCAGGCTGGAAATCCAGGTTCTGATCAGTACATGGATGAAGATGAGGCCGGCACGCCAAAAGCTCGCAGGAACCTAGCCAGAGAGATTGAGGTCTACATGAACCACTTGGACACGCCGCTGAGCAGCCGCACACCCAGCTCTGACCTGACCTCAGACCCTGCCAGCCCACTCCTCCTCCACCCCTCCTCAGCCTCCGCCCCCCGCAGATCCAGCCTGCCCCACAGTTCCCCTTTCAGAATGGCCGAAGTGCCACGCTCCCGCACCTTCCATCAAACCTCACCTTCCCAGCCCATCACTCGTCAGCGTCTGATATCATCCCCTTCTTGTCAGAGCTCCAGCACCAGCCCCAGCCTCAGCCCCTTCCAGGAGGAGGTCGACAGCATCAGTCTGTCATCACCTTCACCCACCTCCTCCTTCGCCCTGGACAATCTGCTCACACCAACACTAGACGTCTTTAAGACCAGCATGTTTTCTGCTGGAAAGGGTGTGGCTGAGAAGGCAAGCCGCTGGTATTCACGTCTCGCTACGTACACCACACCTACCAAGGTACTGTTGTTACAGCTCTATTTGAAAGTAGAAACACATTTCTGGTTCAAATAATGCATTGGTCATTTCAGCCATGGTTCAGCTGTGTTTCTGTCAGCCAGAAATGAGTGCAAAAAAGAAAAGTATTTGAGAACACAGTTGTACTTTTGACAAAAACTACACCAATTCTAATTCTCTGGTCAAATTTCAAACATAAATATAATTTATTTACTATAAAACCTTTCATTCTACTGTAACACAAACATTATTTATAATACAGATTAGAGATGCACCGATCCACTTATTTAAACTTCCGATTCGAGCCCGATACCTACGTCTGAATATCGGCCGATACCGATCCAGTTCCGATATCATGATCATCATTGATTTTATATGAGGCTGTAATAATCTCCTCTCAAGTACAATTTGTACAAATATATACATGCATGTCCAAAAAGTCAATTTGAAGTAAGTTGTATTAATGTTGGATAAGTTTTAAAGTTAGAATTAAATTCTGCTAACACAAAACATGTTTTTTTATTCCTAGCTTTAAAGTGGATATTAAAGTTATTAATTTAAGTGATTGTTTAAAGTTATTTTATATTTTTTTTAAATAAGGGGCAGATATATTAGAAATCTTTTTTCTTCTTTCTGCACTCTTTTCATTCAATGTTTTCTTTTTGACGATTTATTTTTTTATTTTGTTTCTTTTAAATGAATGAATAAATTAATTAAATTAAATAAAATGTTAAATGTCTTCAAACACCTGCTAAGTTCATGGCATAAACCAACAGACATGTTCCTGTTTTTAGTATTTTACATAACTTTATAATGTAGCTGTTTTTGTTTTTAATATAATTTTCAAATCATATGTTTTTTATGATTGTCTACTGTTGTACTGATAAATATCTCCTGGAGGGTAAACTATATCTTGGCTGCAAGTATCAAGCTGAGAAATTCTTAGTTTTCTACAACTGATAGTGGTTGATCATTAATTATGAAGTTTAGCAACTTCTCTGTAAACATTTGAGCTCCGTGTCTTCAGCGATGTCTTCTTCTTGTTCAATACGAAGCAGGCAGCCTGATTTGGGGCAGCCCCGCTCAGTCTGTCCCTCTTCAGAGACGGGCAGACTGAGCGGGGCAGATTGGACGCGGCTGGCCGGGGTCGAGTTGCCTGTTTTGGGTTGAGCAAAGAGCAGCGCCCCGCTGAAGCCACGGAGCTCGAATGTCCATCGTAAAACTAACTTTATCACGGTTTAATGTGGCGCTATGGCTCTGCAGACATTGCTGTCTTGTTTTGTGGTGTTTAGTGTAAAATACTTCCACACAGCGGACATGTTTAGATGAAAACTTTGTTAGCTGTTAGCCACAGTGCTGCTAACTCAGTCCTCACGTTGTAGCTGGCTGCAAACTATGAACTGGATTTCCTGAATGTGAGGCGGGTCTTATTACTCTGGGCTCATGAGACACGTCTCCGTTCAGGAAATCCATTCCATAGTTTGAAGCCAACATGCAGCGCAACCACAGACATGCATGGATCGGAAATATCGGCAGGTGGATCGGAAAAATCCGATACGTAAATTATGCTGGTATCGGAGACCGATACTGGATCGGATCGACCCCATCCCTAATACAGATTAAATCCTTCTCCTGTATACGGAAGTGTTTTATAAAATGTTTACATACATTTAGCTAGTCACAACTCAATTTTTTTCATTTATTTATTTATGTTTATTCATTTTTATCAAGGTAAATTTAGGCAGAAACTTTCAAATTGTGTTTTTCTGTCGCTTTGCAGCATATAGTGTTGTCTTTTTGCATAATTTTTCTTTCCTCAAACCTGATGGATAAAAGCCTCCTAAAGAAAATCACAGAGACCTTGGTGGACTTTATTTCTTAAGATATGGCATCCTGTCATGTGAACACCTTTTTCTTCAGTAGCTCAATTTAAGTGTTCTGAAGTTGATTAGAATTCCAGTGGTGATGTTTTTATATATGTAATACTTTGTTGTATCAGTCAATATTGACTTGATTTTGCTTTAACTTTTGACTTTTCTGTCTGATCAGGACACTCATAGTGACCATCTGAGTGTGTCCTCCCTCACTGTTGGAGATCCAGACTGCTCCTTCCTGCTTGATGAAGCTGAATGTACAGAGTCAGAGTGTTCAGTAGTCTTTCCTAAAAAAAATGGCCTTGTTGGTCCCCCAGAGCCTCGCAGGAGCCCCAAACACAGCTCCATCCATAGCAGAGTGGACAGCCTCCCTGCAAGTTGCAGCCTTGGAAAACCCTCATCTCTTCTTCCTGGTAAACACAAATTCTCCTCAGTGGATGCTTTAAAAAATTTACCTTTTCAAACAGAATCAGAGAATCAGGGTAACTTTTACAAGTTAGTTTTAAAAAGATGTATTTATATATATATTTTTTTTAATAGCAGAAATATGACTGAAATCTGTCAGCAGTGAGATGATTTTCTTTTTTCTCCTGTCACATTGACTGGACGTCTGCAGGGAGTGCACTGTCTCCGCCTGGATTCCTGCTGCCAGACAAGTCAGATCTTGGTTCTTCTCACTACACCAGCAACACCAGCATCTTCAACAACTATGCCATGGAGGTAAAAACATGAACTCTTCGGACTAGAACTTTATAGTTTAATCAAAGACCTAAACTCTTGGTTCAAGATATGTTTCAAGGCAAACTGAGATTTGGAGTGATTTTGTTTTTTTGCTAAAGAAATGTCAAATATGTTTGGTTTTTCTCTTCCCAAAGTACCATATTTTTTTGCTGTATAAGTCACAGTTTTTTTGCATAAATTAGCATACCTGTGACTTATACAGCGAAGCGACATATTTGTTTTTTCCCATATTTATAACCCAATTTTTGGCTGAGTTCTGATGATTTCATTCAATCTGATATGGAAAATATTGAACACTACAATTTTCAGCCACTAGAGGGCCCTCGACTAATATGGCAAGCCAAGGGTCTCATTAATAGGTAAAAGTGGATATTAATGAGACACTTGGCTTGCTATACCAAGCCACCTTCGTCTCGCTCCGGAACTCCTGGAGCAAACGGAAAATCAGCTGCATTTCACCGCACTGCCCAGGCAAAATGCAGCTGATTTGACCGTTAAAGTGAATTTATTAAGGAAAAGTTAAACTGAGACACAGCCTTACTATAATGTTGAGCAAACAAATAATTGTTTTTAGGTGTTATCTTGTTAAATTTCAAAGAAATGAACAGAGAGTCGTCCCTCTGCTCGCTCCCGCTTCCGCAAATTGGTTTTTGAAATACAGCTGATTTGACCATCAAAGTGCATTTATTAAGGAAAGTTAAACTGAGACACATCTTTGCTATAATTTCGAGCAAACAAATAATTGTTTTTAAGTGTTAATCTTGTTAAATTCTTGTTAAAGTCCTCCCGTGTATGCTCCCACGGCCACCATTTGGCAGCCATTTGCTCTTTGGCACAACACTGGCCCACATTTCTGGGTTGTCAGCGGTGACGCATAATAGATACAACTTATACGGCGAAGCAACATATTTATGTTTTTCCCACTTTATTAGACATATTTGGACTGATGCGACTTATACGGCGGTGCGACGTGTACAGCGGCAAGTACGGTAAACGCTTTTTGCTGTTGTTGCAACTTTTATGGGGTTTAAGGTCTGAGTTATTTTAGGTTTTGTTAATGTATTTTTAACTTATTTTCTTATTGTGTTTCTCTCAAGATGAATTAGTTCAGAAATCTTTTTTGTTTTTATTTTCAGCACTTTATTTGATCCAGTTACAAAACTATTTCCTCTGCCTCTTTGAATTTTTTTTTCCTTTTTTGATGTGTAGGGGAACACCACCTCAGAAACGGAACACCACCTCAGAAACAGTTCACCTCAGCTTTAACAGAAACAGTTCACCTCATCTCAAACAAACATCATTCATGTGTTTTGTGTTTTGAACTGTTTAAAATAAGATGCATCTATTCCCTTGGGAACAAACAGACTTTATTTTACAGGTGTTCAACTCAGCTCACAAACTCCTTAGTTGACACTAATGTGAATGTATTTAAAAAAAACTGTCACTGTGTTAACCTCTGCCAATATGAACTCATTTCACATGAAACAAACAGATCGTTTTAATGAGTTTGGTTCAAACGACCTTGAAGTGAAACATCTGCCAAGACTTTAACTTTTATCAACAAAAAAAAGGAGTATTACTCCCAGGATGGGTTCCCATGCAGATTACACCATGAGAACCCTTTTGTTTCATGACATTTTCTTTCCAGGAGATGAACAGCGACACCTTTTGATGAACATTGCATGTTATTTCAAAATATGTCTTATCTGAATGTTTATTTATGAAAATGTGTGTTTTAAGTAATCTCTTTAATATAATCATGTTTTATTTTTCTCCTTTTAAAAGAAGGGTGACTTTTAAAGGCAGACCGAGAAAATGGACTGTGATTTTATAAAACATGACAAAGAGTTAGGACCACCCCCTCTTCTGAGGTGTGTACCAAAGTCAGTCTGTAACACACAGACAGTTAAGTTTCACTTCTACACCACTTCTACACTTCTTCACTTATGCTTCTACACAACTACTTCCATCACATCTTTTTCAAGCATTGAACTTCGAGCAAACTTTAGAGAAGAATCTTCCTCCTAGTGAGATGTCCTGGGAAGAAGAAAAACATATTTTCTGCAAACGTCTCAGGACGAGAGAACCTGACGAACCAGAACATCACACCGCAGAGTGGTAAATCCCAGTTGACTTCAGAGCCAGTGGCCGGACCTTCGTCCCTCAAACCGATGATAGGTGACCTTTGAGGAAAAATCCTCCTCTCAATCACCGGAGCATCTCAGGCCTTGCTGGTATCAATTTAAGCAGTTGTGGACATTCTGACAGCTCATTCTGGTGAGAGAGACCCTTCAACGCACTTTCTGGTGATCATACATCACAATAATATTGCTTGATATATACCACATCCTGATGCATGCTCAATAATCCAGGTAGAAAAATCCAAAAAAGTTCAATCTGGTCCTCTGCACATTCAAAAAACAAAACAAGCAAAAAAATGTAGAAACGTTTCGTCTCTCATTCAAAAGACTTCCTCAGTCTGAGGTGTTGTTTTCAGCTCAGTCTCTTAAATAGCACCTTCCCAGAGTGGATCAACCAGTTTTGCTGCTGACAACCAAAACCAGCTGATCACATGCTCAAGAAGGACCATCAGCCTAACAATGGATCATTAGCACACTGATGGCTGTTTACTATTCACAGAGGGCTGAGTGATACTAGCAATCATAGCATTGTAAGAGGGGGACAGTTGAACCCGGAGGCCTCCACCCCTGTTTAACGATGGACGATTTCTTTTCACAAAGATGGCCTCCTTTACTCCTCTCTCAAACCATCGTTCCTCTCTGTCCAGGATGTGAACATCTTCATCCCTGAAAGAGTGACCGCTGGCCTGGAGATGAGTGTAGACCACAGAGTCCTGGCCTGATGATGTTGATCTTCTGTGCTGGTCCATCCTTTTGGCCAGTGGCTGTTTAGTTTCCCCGATGTAAGACTGATCACAGCCCTCCTGACACTGAACAGCATACACAACATTACTCTGTTTGTGCCGGGGGACTGGATCTTTGGGATGAACCAGTCTTTGCCGTAATGTATTTTGGGGGTTTAAAAGCCACTGGGACGTTATGTTTAGAAAATAAACGTCTCAGTTTCTCTGATACTCCCTCAACATATGGAATGACCACTGGTCTGGGTCTGGGTTCCTCCTTTTCACCTGTTGGCTGACTGGAGTCCTGTTTGGGTTTCTTCTCTGCTTTCAGGAAGGCCCAGTTAGGATATCCACATTGCTCTAGAGCCTGTTTTGTGTAGGATTTCTCCTTCTGCCTGGCTCCTGAGTTAGTGAAGACACTGTCTCCTCTGTGGTACAGAGTCCTGATGACTCCTAACTTGTGCTCCAAAGGGTGATGGGAGTCAAACTGCAAATACTGGTCTGTGTGGGTGGGTTTGCGGTACACGTCGATTTGCAAATGTCCTCTATCAGAGACTGAGACCTCACAGTCCAAGAAAGCCAACCTGCTATTTTTTACATCTTCTCATGTGAACTTGATGTATTTCTCCACCGAGTTGATGTGATCAGTAAAATGTTGGACTTCTGAGATTTAATTTTAACCCAGGTGTCGTCAACATACCTGAACCAATGACTTGGTGGTGTCCCTGAAAAGGACGTCAAGGCTCTCTTTTCTACCTCCTCCAGGTACAGGTTGGCAACAATAGGAGAAACTGGAGACCCCATAGCACACCCAAAATTATAGGCAGAAACATGGGTGGGGAAACATGCTCGATGGGAAAATGAAGGCATCCAAACTAAACAACTTCTTCAACAGATCTAACAAACCCATCCAACCCCTCATCCCCCCCACCCTCACTGCAGCTTCTTCACAAAACAGTTGAATCGTGTCATCTGGACAGTTTCTTTTTTGAAAGAAATGTTTTGTCTTTCATCCAAAGGACTTCACCTGGGTGACTGAGTGTACTTTTTCTACCTCTCCTTCCCTCAAGACACCTCCCGTCGTCATCATCATCATCCTCCTCCACCCCCACCCCCACCTTACACATTCTCCTCCTTACATCACAGCAGAGCAAGTCAGAGAACAGCTGAGAAAGCTTCACCTTAGGAAAGCAGCGGGCCTGGGCAAGGTGCGTCCCCAACTACTAAAAACCTGCGCTGCTGAACTGGGAGAACCACAACAACAAATCTTCAACCATAGCCTGCAGATGGGGAGAGTGCCCACCCTCTGGAAGACATCCTGCATTGCTCTGGTTCCTAAGAAGAACTGGTCCAGTTAGCTGAATGACTTCCAACCTGTGGCACTCACTTCACACCTGATGAAGTCATTGGAGTGGCTCTTCCTCAGCCTCCTCAGACGCCAGACGCAACATGCTCTGGACAGTCTGCAGTTTGCATAGCGGGCAGGTGTTGGTGTGGAGGATACCATCCTTCACCTGCTACATTGAGCCCACTTGCATCTAGGTAAAGGAAGTGGCACAGCACAAATTCTTTTCTTGGACTTCTCCAGTACCTTCAGTAGTTTCCAAAGTATCCAAGAAGGACCTGACTGGACAAACTGATCAGGCGGGCCAGCTCTGTGGTCGGCATGAAGCTGGACTCTGTGGTGATGGTGGAAGAGAAGAGAACTCTGGGCAAACTTCTGTACCCTATGGAAAATGGCAGTCTCCCTCTGCACATTGTCGTCAGCACCCAGAGGAGTCTGTTCACTGACAGACTGGTCCTTCCCAAGTGCAGGACTAACAGACGGAAGAACTCTGTTGTCCCACATGCCATCAGAACTCCTCACTGAGGGGAAGGAGGGGTAACAGGAGGATGGGAAGGACCAACAGCACCACCACCACCTTAAAATAGCTAGTAACTGGTTATATAGTATTATTTACTGTTAAATCTGTATATATGTGTGTACACTAGTCCCTCGATACTTCGGGGTTCGACTTTCATGGACTCACTCTTTTGTGGGTTTTCAAAATGATTGTCCATGACACATGACTGGCTGATTGATGGAAGGCGACCAACCAGAGCAATGTGCTGAGGGGCACAGCAGAGCAGAGACGCACAACAGGTCGGTGCACAACCAGTTGTTTAGAGCCACTGCTCCTTCGCATTGAAAGGAGTCAGTTTAGGTAGTTCAGGTATCTCATTAGGATCCTTTTGGATGCCTTCGTGTACAGGGTTACTGAGCACATCCCGCTGGCAGAGGTGGGCAACATATATTTTCCAAAGGGCCACATCAAGATGCTTAAAGCAATCAAAGGGCCACATAAAGAATTTGATTTATTTTATTGTTTTTTTATGACAGATTATCTAGAAGACCTTTTTCAAGCCTTTTCTTGTTGTAGCATAGTTTGCATGCTTTATAAAAACCAATGTCCTTTACAGGTATAAGACATATTGTTTAAACTGGCTCTTGTGACATATTATGCATGTTAGCTAAACATGTTATACATGTTAGCTTAACATGTATAACATGTTAGTGGAAATATGCAATTCAAACGTATATATTTGTGTTTCTAAGTCTTTAAGGTTCACTTTAGTTCTTGAAACACAATTACCTAAAAATGTTTTTAAAAAAGTCAAGACGTTTAATTTAAAATTTCTCAAGTCTCATTGATAAATTTCTATTTTTTAAATTTTATTTTACTTTGTATTTTTTTTTTACTAAGGATATTGGGGGTCTGATACAGATTGTCCTAGGGCTGCTTTTGGCCCTTGGGCCTTAACTTGCCCACATCTGAGTAAGAGATTATGGGGCAGACCCAGAACTCTCTGGAGGAATATGTGTATATTCTCTGGCATGGAAATGCCGCGGGGTACATTATGTGGAGCTGGAAAGTGATGCTGGGGAGAGGGATGTCTGGGTTTCTCCCCTGGATTTGTTACCTCCCCAACCCGTCTATGGATAAGCAGTAGAAGATTGAGATGGAACAAATTAAACATGGTGGTGGTCCAAAATGGTATTTGGGCCCAACCCTGGACCCCTTGTTGGAATTTTGGATCAGGACTCTCATTCATTCAAATCAGATGTGTCAAAGCAGATAAACACCTCAAATGTATGTTTCTACTTGAAATAACTCAAATCTCCACTGCTAAGAGGAACATCTAAACTTTGTTTTATATGTTCTCTCACACCTGATTTGAATGAACAGGTAATTAACACGCTTCTACAGAATTTGAGGACATAATAAAAAGCAAGGAAACGGGCAGGATAGTGACCCTCAAGGACCAAGATTGGGCAACAAGATCCTATTTGTTGAAACCACTTTTCACCTCGCATGTTTTTTTTATTCATATAGGTTTAACTTTTCTCAAGAAATATTTTTGATAGAAATACTTTAAATACCTGAAAAGATAAACATTGTAACAATAAGAGTAAAATGGTGGAAAACATTGGTTATTTTTAATAATCTATTCAGTAAATAAATCATAGTTAAGGGCTCCTTTGATGTGTTTTCACTCCCCAGCTGCTGATCTCCAGCTGCTCTCGGTGTAAAACATGTGACTGTCTGGTGTACGATGAGGAGATCATGGCTGGCTGGAAGGCTGATGACTCCAACCTGAACACCACCTGCCCCTTCTGTGGGAACCCTTTCCTGCCCTTCCTCAACGTGGAGATCCGGGACATGCGAGGAACTGGAAGGTACATGACGATACTTTTAACACCAAACAAACAGAAGACATTTATAAATGTATCTGTCCTATTGTGTCTACTGTTGGCCTTGTTAGGAGCAAGCATGATTTTATTGCTGCAAAATTTTCAGCACATCTAAAAAAAAAACTACATTTTTGCTAAATGAGAAAATAATGTAGAATAACAAAAAAAAATAAAAATGTTGGTTATATTTGTAATTGTGGTCAAATTGACAGATTTCTAATGCACATTCAAAATGTAGAAACGTCCAGAAACATGTTTATAGGTTCACCTGTGGTACCACTAGGGCATTAGTTAAGATACTGTAAATCATTTCAGACTCATTACTTTGACCTTCCTGAAAATTAATACCTGAAACTTTTGGATGTAGTTTAAGTTTAATTAAATTTTTTTCAAACATGGTAACTGGGGCCCTGTGTACGTAATTTCGTTCCACCACGTGGGGTGCGAATGACAAATAAAGAACCTTGAATCCTTCGTAGGAACAAAACAAAACAAAAAAGTCTTACCAATGACCAAAAATAATAAATGACGATTACAGAAACATGTAAATGTCAGAAAGTGTTTAATATAAAACCATTCTTCACAGGCTTTTCTTGAAGGGCAGCCCATCGGTGGATGAAACGATGACGTCATCGTACTCCACCTCAACAGGTTTGGACACGGGGACATCTACTTTGTCCACGCCGTGTCCCCCCACAGCTGTGTTCCCTCCCTCCTCTTTAACAGCTGCACAGGACTGCTCTGGAAGGTACTCACACAGTTTTTGTTTATTCATTTATCAGCCCTAAAATTATTACTACCTTACTTCCTTTAACTTATAACAAAAGAGAAGAACAAAAGTCCTTAGTGGTAACCTATAATTATTAAAGATAAAGAATTTCAAACACTAACATCAGATTTATTGAGGTTGCAGCTGGTATAAGAACAACGTTAACGTAGTTCATTTAAAAACTAAACTAAACCTTCATGATAAATTCACCTCCTGGTTGACTGAGGCTGCGTGAGCTGCAACTCCAAAATAAATACCTGAAGCAGAAACGATGTGCCCAGGGAGTAAAAACACACAACTCTCAGCTGTTGTCTTGAATTTGTTTATGCTGCGTTGTAGGGACTGTAAGAACCAGATGTTTTGTTTGTTTTTATAATGTGTAAAATTAGGGGTTGAATAGACTAGTCGACTAGTCAATTCTAGAACGTTTCACGAGTTCTTTAATTTGGCGTCGACTAGTCACAGTCAGTCACGTGATCAGCTGGGCCGCTGGCTACAGAGCTGAGTCTTCCAAGCAGATGGAAGTTGAGGAGCAGGCAAAGTCTTCCCAAACAGGTAGAAATTCATCAACAGTGTGGAAGTATTTCACTAAAGATTATGTTCTTTTTACGTTCTTTTTATTTAATTCCTGGTGGAATCCACCACTGCCCGCACCGCTGTTCTTAGTTTCATTTTATTTAATTCACTAAATAAAATAAAAACGGGTGTGCTCCACCAGCAAATCTACCACCGCGCACCCCACCATGTGTGTTGCTGTACACGCCGCCGGTGTGCATTACACACCACCGCCGGTGGATAGTTTTTATTTTTATTTTATTTAATCCACTAAATGAAATAAAAACAGGGATGCGCACCACGGGAAATTCCACCGTGCATCACTCCCGCTGTGCACCGCACACCACCACCACCGTTGGAGAATCCACAACCACTGCGGTGGTTTATTTTATTTAGTGAATGAAATAAAATAAAACTAACTTTTGCAGCTTAATAATTTTGGTTTTCCTGTTACTTATTTTCAGTATCATATATGGTAGGAGTATATGCTCCCAATATGATTATTATTTTTTTAATAATAAATAACTATTTTTTTGCGTCTTCAGTTCCTATGACATTATCGACTAGTCAACGTCGACTCGACCATTATGTTAATGTCGTCTTTAAAAAATATGTAGTCATTCAACCCCTATGTAAAATGCAGCTTGTTTGTGTTGCATCAGTTTTTCTCAAATCACATGAATATTCAGAATCTGTGATTCAGAAAATCTAATGTAACATTTTTGTCACTTGGTTTCTGTCCTCAAAACAATCCTCTGCAGACTTCCCTAAATTTATATTTACAAAGTACACCGAAACAGACAATTCTTTTATGTTTGGATTGGTTTGTTCTTTATTTGTCCCCCGTCATAGAGAGGGGAAATAGAAATATTTCCATCTGTCCATCCATCCACACTGTGAGTGTGATAAATTGAAAAATAAGTGAGGTACCAGCTTCTAGCTTGGTGTGTGACTGCACCGGTAAACTGGGTTGCCATATCAATTTTCCAAGATGGCTGCCACCATATGTGTTTGTTTGTTTTTTTAATGGCCATCTTGATCATTTGAACATATGCTTTCTTGTTTTTATATTGCTTAAGTATAGTATAGTTTCCACAAATGATTGGGGTGGCCAAAGATTAATCTATGGGGGCCAAGGCCAAAATTTGCTACCCCTGGCTCCTCATTGCACCTGGTGGTGGATAAAGTTGCTCCCTCCACTCACCAAGATCTATTACTCTGCGTTGCCTTGAACAAGAATAAAAAGTAACAAAGTCCATGCTCAATAATCCAGGTATACTATCCATCATTTCTCAGTCAGGTCATCTGGACAGTTTCTTCTTTCTTTTTGTGCTGAAACATTTCGCCTTCGATCCAGAAGGCTTCATTAGTCAAGGAAACACACAACAAAACTGATTTTCCCCCCAACAGCTTACTCCAAAGTTTTCAAACAGTTTGACATGACTGTCAACAAGGAAGAGGGCCGGCAATGGAGGAGGGGGCGTACCAAAGAGACCAACTTAGCACCAACAAAACTGGTTTGTTCCACTTTGGAGTAAGCTGTTGTGGGAAGAATCAGTTTTGTTGTGTGTTTCCTTGACTGATGAAGCCTTCCGGATCGAAGGCGAAACGTTTCAACACAAAAAAAAAAAGAAACTGTCCAGATGACCTGACTGAAAAATGTTGGAAGAATAAAAAGTGTACCTCTGTTCTTCTCCACAGTGCAACTCCTATCAACTTGAATATTTTGAACCAAAAACATTTAGGTTTACCTGAATTCCAGACCAGAAAAACACTCTCATCTTGAAATCTACAAACATTCACTATTCAAATCCCTCAGCGACGGGAGACATTGATGTACAGCTTGTTAAACTGTCCTTTTAGGGGTTAACAAAAGCATTTACTAATACTGTACACTAATATAAACACTTACCTTTTTCACCGTCACGGCGCAGGTTGGATATTTCCGGCTTGAAGCGCGTTTGGGGTCTTTCCACTGTTCCTGTGACCGGCTCGCCTCGCTAAATTCTGGCCCGGCTTCTCAAGGGTTCCGAGCGAGCCGCGCCGTGACGTCAGAAACACTGTCGGTCACTGATTGGTCGGGGGGAGGAGTCTGTGGAGTCTTTCCAAACAACCCGATCCGCCATTTTTTTCTCTACCGCTTGCCATTAGCGATAACACGAGGAGCGTATCTTTTAGTATTTTGAATTTATACAACAACAATAATATCAAAGCCGTGGTCAAATGCAGAAGTGCAGGTGTTGTTGTGCTTGGTGGCCGACGAAAAAAGTCAAAGCGAGCTAGATGGAGGATTGGAGGGTGGTTTGGACACGACTACTGCTCTACTTGAACCATTTATAGAAGATGGTGAGTGTTTTCTAACTTTAAACATATTTTAAATTACTCATCCCATCGGTTCTGAACATATTTTTAACTAACAAAAGAGGCTGACGCCATAATAGTACAACATCGGTGCTACGATGCTAAGCTAATTTGCATAAACGCTAACTGTCCTCCGGTCCCGTTTCTCACTGTATTTTATCCAGAACATATTTCAGCGCGTGAAGGTTCATCTCTAAACTCCACATTAAACCCTCCAAGCCTCCAGGCTCCTGCTCCTGCTCCATCAGAGGAGTCTACACCTGACAGGTCTCCATCACAGCCCAGCTGCACCTCACAGACAACGCTGCAGCTTCTGTGCTCGGTAAGATGCAACATGTTTCACATCACTTTATTTGTGCCGATAAGGACTTGATTTATTTTATTTTTAAAGTAAAAAAATAAAATGTTGAATAAATACTGAATTGGGATGAAATTATGTACTTTGTACACAGGGTCCCAGTTACAGACAACAAAATGTAAAATAAAAACAGTAATAAGATCTAAGATATGAATTAAGAAAAATATCAACTAAAAAACATTTACTAATAAAACACTAAGCACTAATAGCAGTAAACAATCAAAACAATACGTCAAACAGCAACATGAACTTGAGTTTGTGCAGCCTTATGAATATATAACACTGTGAAGAATCACATCATGTTGCTGCTGATCAGTTTCATGTTGCTGCTGATCAGTTTCATGTTGCTGCTGATAAGTTTCATGTTGCTGCTGATCTGTTTCATGTTGCTGCTGATCTGTTTCATGTTGCTGCTGATCTGTTTCATGTTGCTGTGTTCATTCGTGCTCATCTGTTCACACAGACTCATGTCCGTGCTGCTGTTCTGCGTATTGTGTTTAATGTTTTTATGCTATTAGAGCTTATCATATTTTTAGTTGATGTTTTTATTAGTTCATATCTTAGATCTTATTACTGTTTTTCTTTTATATTTTATTGTTGGATGTAACTGGGACCCTGTGAACATAATTTTGATCCACCACATGGACCACATGAGGTGCGAATGACAAAGAATATCTGCATCTGTATAATACTTTCTGATTCATATATCCATTATTATCATTTTCATTATTTTTAAATCAATTTATTTTTCATTTTCTTATTTGATCAGTTTATTATTATTAATATATCTATTATAGCTGTTAGCAGCACCTTTCTTTGTTTCATGCATTTATTCAAAAACAGTATGTAGCTTGAATTAACCACCTGTTTCTTCTTTCTAGTGAAGAGAAAGAGAAAAGAGTCCAGTAAAGAAAAGTCTTATTTCATCACTGAATGAACATGAAGAACTGAAGCGGACACAGCAGGAACAACACTTGTGTCTTCTTCTGGATGAAGCCCGTGAGACAAGGGACAGACACAATCATTAGTTGGACGCAGTAGTTTTTATTTTTGTACATTTTTCACTTCTTACTTTTCATATTAAACATTTTTTTTTAAGTGGTGTCCTTTAACATTAAATTTCCTAAACAAATTTTACAATGTTAAGTTCATATAGTGTTTGTTTAAATTCATACTGGAAGTTGAGAAGAATTTCCAATTGCATTTGATCTTTAATGAATCCTAAGAAAAGATTACCAGAATCTGCTCAACTGTTATTATGTTATAATTTTTTGGTTCTAGGATGAAGTGACACAAAAACAGTAAAAAATTCATAAAGGACAGTTATCAGTTATTGGCCATACAACTGTGGCCCGAGAGATTCAGCTGAAAGTCCTGGTGCACCTTTTATTTGAACCTGCAGAGATTTGAACAGCTGATCTGAAGCAAACAGGCAGGAGTTCACCTGAACTGACCACTCCTGCTGTTTGATGGTCTCCTCCTTCGCCACCTGTCCATCCATCCATCCATCCATCCATCCATCCTCTTCTGCTTCAGGGTTGTGGGAGCAGCATCTTCACCAGGGAGGCACAGACATGAACATCCACCTCTTCAACTCTTCTAGGACCACATGGTGTTCACAAACCAACTGAATATTTATTAATTAATATCCTGATGCTGCTCAATAATCCAGGTAGAAAAATCTAAAAAGTTAAGTCTGGTCCTCTGGACATTCACAAAACAAACAATACAGTTTATAATAAATAAACTAAATGTTTTTTGTTAGTTTTGTTTTTTGAATGTCCAGAGGACCAGACTTAACTTTTTTAGATTAATAAGTAATAAATTTATGTTTTAATTTAATGAAAGACAAATCTTTAAAATTCAAGGACAAAATTTAATCTAATTGTTTTCAAGTCTGTATCTTATTGTAAAAGCAGTTTCAAAGATTACAGCACAGTGTGAAGTTTTGCAATTTTAACATGAACCTTGTGCATATCTGTAAATAATAAAAGTGAAGATATTTTTAATACATCTTTATTGTAAAAATCTATACTAAAATGAAAAACACATGGGTTTAAAGCAGCAGGGAAGGCAGTAAGGTAGGATTATGAATCAGGTCTAAAGTTACAGCTCATGAGGTACTCCATTAGAGCATGACATCTCTTCCACAACATCGCGTGACAAAACCTTCAGGGTGTTCTTCTTCTAATACGTTTAGTGGTGGCTAGTAAGTAGCTTAAGGGAGCACTACCACCACCAGGTGGTAAGACGAGTTGGATTCTAGTCCCCGCCTACAGAGCTGGTCCAGAAATGTACATGGAAACACAACAGACCCGAACCGATCTGAACCAACCCGAACTGATCTGATCCGCTCTGTGACGGTGGAAAAGGGGCATTAGTAACATAACGTAGCCACGTCGTACAGTGGGCTGTTAGAACAGTGTTACAGCAGGTCTGCTGATGTTTTTGTAAAATTTAGACATTTAAACTATACATTATTATTTTTAAACTAATTTGTCTTTTGAGTCACATTTGTATGGTTTCTTTATTACAGATCTTTTAATAAACTTATTTATGCAATATGGGAGAACAAAAAAATGCATACAGTGAATTGTACCTTCTCAGAGCTCTGATACAAAATAAATACTGAAACTTTTAACTATTAAACGTCATAAAATATTTTTGGTATCTGTCTTAAATGGTTGAGTCATGAGCAGCATGTTCATGCTGTTCACTAATGTTTGCACACAGTATACTTTATTTTATACATAGCTGAAGATACATAAATGCACAGTATGTTTTATATAATTTTTAAATCTGTGCTGAAATGGATGTAATAAAACTGACTTTAGTTTTTTGGCCAACCTTCCTGTGTCAATGCAGGGCTCAGCCTATCAAAGCTCAAGGTATCAACATCCCCTTAGAGCGACAGCAGGGGGCACTGTTCTCCAGAGCAGCGATGACCCGCAGTGTCAGCGCCTTCAGTCCTCTGGAGGAAACATCTGGATTCAGCCGCTGCCTGCCAACATCAGGCAGCCTACCCAGCTGTCTGAACGAAGCCACGGTTTGTATCAGAACACACACTGTAGAAACTTTAGCGTCACATGTGAAGTGGTATAAGAGGGGCAAGTATTGGTATTAAAAGGGCCAGTGCCACATATGCACAGATGATCCAGGGTCAATTCACCTCACAAGGCACACAGAGCATGTGGAGGGGCATTAAGTGTATAACAGATTATAAAGGCAGAAGTGAACAGTGCCTTAGAGACCCATCACTGCCTGATGCCCCCAACAAGTTCTACGCACACTTTGAAGACTCGAACAGACCACCCAGCACCAGACTCACCTCACCACTGAAGAAGTCTTTTGGATGAACGACGAAACGTTTCTACAGTTTTTATATGTTTGTTTGTTTTTGTTTTTGTTTTTGAATGTCCAAAGGACCTGACTTAACTTTTTTTATATTTTTCTACGTGGATTATTGAGCATGCATCAGGATACACTGGAAGAAGAGTTTCTCAGCATGATCTCAGCTGAAGTAAGGAGTACCTTCAGGAGGATTAATCCTCACAAAGCAACCGGCCCAGACAACATCCCCAGGAAGGTGCTGAAAGACTGTTCCGATCAGCTCTGCAAGGTGCTGGCCGAGATCTTTAGCTCCTCGCTTACGCTGACAACAGTTCCCACCTGCCTGAAGACCACCACCATCATCCCAGTCCCAAAGAGCTCTACAGTGTCTAGACTGAATGACTACCGGCCAGTGGCCCTCACCCCTATAGTTGCTAAATGCTTTGAAAAACTGGTCATGACCCACATCAAAACAACCATCAACATCAACGAGGACCCTCACCAGTATGCATACCATGAAAATCGATCAACATAGGACACCATCTCCTCTGTGGTCCACACTGCTCTCACCCACCTGGAGCAGAAGGAGTCCTACTGTACGTCCGTATGCTGTTTGTGGACTTCACATCTGTCTTCAGCACCATGGTCCCCCAGACCCTGATGATGGGGCTGGACGATATGGCCAAAACTTTTATCACGATATAGTTCTTAATTTCGGTCGATAACGATATAATTCGATATCGATATAAACAATGTAAAAACATTGGAAAAATTGTAAAAACTTTTCAAATAAATTAATGTTCACCTTTTATTTGTATTTAGCCTTCAAAGAAATCTGAAATCACCGTCAAATAAACATGAAACACTCAACTTTGTCAATATTAATAGTTTTAACTTTAAACAACAACAGAACATAACCCATGCAGCAAACAGAAGTTTGCTGGATGGGTTTATCTTTTGATGCAGCTGGGGTTGTTGTTTTAGGGGCATGTTGGCTCAAACTTTTATTGTGCTTCATCTTCGCTTCATCTTCTGACTCTCAGCATATTCTATCAAGTGTTACAAGTTAGATGTGTTCCCACCGCTAGTTGGAACAACTCTCCATCACATTTTACAGCACACTGACTGAAACCTGCAGTTTATCAGATTTTAGAAAGCCAAACCACTTCCACACCACCAAATTAGTCTTTCCTCTTTTATCAGTTATGTCCTCTGCTCTCTCTTGGCTTGTGAAAGCTTGTTCAGTCACATTCTGATGGTCATGGACACTCATTTTGAAGCAAAAACTTACAGCGCGTTGGAGATTAGCCTAGCCTGCTATGGCTAACGCCTTCTGGACTCGAGCTCTGCGTAATATCTACGTCACCACGCACTTATGTAGTTGTGTTGGACTTTTTTCTGT